TTTTATATCATTTCGTCTACCATTCTTTTTACGTTCTTGTCACTGTTTCTTCATTAGAAAAACAAACAAACAAACAAACAAATTCTCTTCACCGAATGATCAAACAAACAATAAAAAATAAGTTTTTATTTTTATTTGCAAGGAATTATAATTTTTTTTACATAGCTTTCTTAGGTGTTTGGCTCACTAGGAAAAATACATTGAAAAGTAACCGGTAGAAATGCACACAATTAGTAAAAAATATTACTTTATTTTTTGTGCGCGTAATTGTTTTCCTTATTACATAAATTTTCCATCGATGTGTAAAAACGCTTTTTGAAGGAAGTTACAATCAAGAAAACGGTTAAGAAAGCTACAATTCCATCTAACAATGTATAAATGTATATAATATATATTGACTGCAAAGACAGTTTTCCGAAATAAATAATGTCAAAATGTTAGAAATAAATAGTCCGTTTTTAATTACCTTGAAAATAAATAATATGCAGCCATGCATGTCCTCAAAAACTTTGAAAATGAATAATTTGCCCATGCCGGGTGCTACCCCCCCCCCCCCTTTTGTTTCCTTGTCAAACTCAAACTTTTTTTTTATTGAAGATCTAGAAGAAAAGCTGACTGCACATGAAATTCTGTTTAAATTTGCTGATTAAAACTAGTTCATTGTTGTAGACTTACTGTTTAAGACAGCATACTGTTGATACACGTGTGAATGTAGGCATATCTGGACTAACGGGATTAGATACGGTTCAATATATACAGCTCAAGTTTTTACCTGTGCACGTGTGATGACAATACTTGATCGAAATTTTCAAATGTTTTAGAGTTAATAACGAAAGACGTCAGTCTAGATAACGAGACCATGGCAAGATATGTACAGTGTTTCTTAAAAAAAAAAACTTGGGTGAACACGCATGCATGGACTAAGCATTTTTTTTAAAGATTAAACTGGGCTTAATGTGTAAATTCCAGGTAACATATTTTACCTGCAGATTTCGGCGAATAAAGCAAATGAAATGGGAAAATGCTTTAAATAAAAATTAATTCTGACATATATCCAGATTTTTTTTTTTTTTTTTTTTTTTTTTTTTTTTTTTTTGATTACGTGTGTTTAACTGAAAATTCCATGGGAAAATGTGGCGTTCGAACTTTTTGACAGTATGTTATATGGGCGATAACATCTTGAGTTGGTCAGAAGAGTAAACCAACACATATTATTTATATTTACATCGCTTTTATTTATTTTTTCTAGTGATTGAGAGGCGTTTACATTTTAACATGTCCGCTTTCAAGTTGATAATTTAGTTCGTAATTTTTTTTTTTTATTTCATGAATAAAAAATAATTTTAAGGGCTTGGTTTTGGATAATAGCACAGAATCCTAAATAAATACATTTTTCAATATGTCTTAGTTTCCGAGAACGTTCATAGAGACAAGAATATGGTAGATAAAAGCTATAGAAATAAACGATGAAGTATTTAATTCTCTTTAATTTATTATAAATTGTACACGAAAATACTACGATGCTGCATTTAATATGGAAAAAAAGTTAGTCAAGCACAACCCGATCATGCATAGCGAATAAGGAATCGCCTCACACTCTGTCGAGTTGTTTTGAAGTCGTAACTAGTTTTGAGTAGATTCCTTATATTAACAGATGTAAGTCCAGATGCGTTGTACTTAATAATAATATTTTGAATCTCCAGGGTTATTTTCCGTCCTTCTTTAACGTGCGCTGCGTCGAAAGAAATAAAAGAAAATTACCTTCTATACTTGGTCATTGCAAGATTCGGAATGCTTTCGGGGCGTGGCTTGCATAATTATTTCAAAAATTATTCATGAACGGTACGGTACGCTTTGTGTACGGTACGGTACGCTTCTTGCACGGAACGGTTCGTTTTGTGTACGGTACGGTTCGCTTTGTGCACGGTACGGTACGCTTCTTGCACGGTACGGTTCGTTTTGTGTACGGTACGGTTCGCTTTGTGTACGGTACGGTACGCTTCTTGCACGGTACGGTACGCTTCTTGCACGGAACGGTACGGTTCGTTTCTGAGGTGTAGTAGCACGTTTTAGGGTCTGTATCTAAAAAAAAATTAATATATATGCTAGGTAGCTAATTCAAGTAAATATATTATAAGCACTGAATATACATTTATAGTGATTGACAGGCATGCAATTTTATCTATCTCGTATAGTAAGTTCAGAATACGATAGTTATAAGCCTTCTACAATGTAGACGATTTATTATTCTCTATGATTTGAATGCGAAATTATCCCGATTTCCGAGTCTTATTTTCGATATTAAAAAATATTACATACACCCAAAAAGGAATTGAGCGATAGAAAATTGTAATACAGTACTGTTTTAAAGCCTTTATAAATAAATTGATATCTGCCACTTAAAAGAAAGAAAATCAATGTATAGATTAGATTTTGTTATTACATGTATATTTGATAAAAAGTTAAATTATTTATGACACATGATCTATGCTCTATATACCCAAGGAATTATAAAAGGTGTGAAAAGACGATTCTTGGATTCTTGTGAAACACTCAAAGAGTTAAAAAAAAATATGTGAAAACGCGATTCTGTGTGAAATAATGGTACGCTATATGTTTCTTTTGAAAAAAAAAAAACATGATAAAAAAAATTGCACAGGTCTCTTGATATGTGGGATAAGTATACCTGAATGAACACAATTTTATGCAATGATATATAATTATGTACATGCAACTGACGTCCGTACTTTTCCTTATAATTCATAATACATAAAACTATCTAATTCCTTTGAAGCCCCCCCCCCCCCGTCTTGATTAATATTTGGAGACGTTCGTGCAGCTAGGCATTTGAATTATATATTCGTTTTAGATTTAAATCTGGAACATGTGAATATAATTACCATTTACATGTATACAGAATTTCATATTCTATAATGGAGATTTGTCATTATGAAATGTTCAATTTACGTCTGAGAGAGAGAGAAAGAGAGAGAGAGAGAGATTCCCTCTTAATCCCGATCCTCCTATCCATTTACATAGACCAAACATTAGTTCTATATCGGTAACACCCATTCTTTATTAAATGTTTTCTGATTTCATAGTCAGTGTTGGTCACATCCTGTATATTTTTCTGCTTAAAAAGTATCACACGAAGTGCACGTGTGTTGACCTGTCAATCAAAATCACTTGACGCTGTATGCACTGCAATAAAATAGCCTGAGTTCGAAATGATCTTGAAATATGATCTTTAAGTATCTCTGATGCAACAAACTTGTGAAAAAATAGAATAAAATAAAAAATAAAGTATCTCGGTATTATGAACTTCGATTGTGGGACGTGGAGACCGGTCCTTTGGATGAGATCGTATAAATCGAGGTCCCTTGTCGCACAAGATGCTGGCATAAAAAAGATTTCCCACTGCTCAATTGCGATAAGTGCCAAAGTATAGGACAAAAATTTGCAGTCTCCACCGGCGTCTCCTGTGAGTGAAAAATTCTGGAGAGGGACGTTAAACAACATACGTATAATCAATCAATCAATCAATCGATTGCTGAAGAATTACTGTAATTGAATAATCTGTCTTATAGGTATGCTGTCAAATCTTGATATTATAACTTTACAAAACTCAGTGACTTTACGTTTAGTGTGATACTAACTTAATTCATTATATTTTTTATAACACCATCACAATTATGCCAAAATATACATACAATGAAGTTTATGATAGTACGGTGTTCGTTCGTCTGTTTGTTTGTCTTAGAAATGATTGCAAACAATTTTTTTTTAAATTGCTAATGATATACGTTTATCCAAATGTATTATACAAGATTGATAATGAAAATCAAAGTACAATAAGTACTGAAAGGACTTTTTTCCAGTTATTTTTTTCTTTCACAGTAAATATGATATGTATGTTTTTTCCACAGAAAAAAAAACAAATTCTTACAGATTTAGAAGAACGGAAGACTTTTTTGTTGCCATGGCAACAAGAGTCTAGTTATTATTATTATTCTTTTTTTCTACTTTCTTCTCCGGCACTTTTTTGTCCGGGAGTGTTCTCATAGAACCACTCATCCAATTGACATGAAACCTTTTTAAGGTTAATAGGCATGTTGTGTAGGTGTTCGGAACGAAGGTCATTTTGCGCGCACATGCATGCACGTGCGCGCGCGTGCAATGAGTGAAATGACTGATATACTTGATGAAGCCGTAACTTTTACATTTCTTGATGAATTGCTTTGAAACTCAAACTCTAAAGATATATTAGTAGTCTAGACAAGATAACATGGTCAAATTAGCGTGAACTCACGCGCATGCACGTTCGCTCTTCTCTGATTGGTTGATACAAAAATCTCAATTATTTCCTTGTTTTTTGACAAAATACTTTGAAATTTAGAATATAAGTATATATTATAAGGTGCTAAAACATGTTATATAGCAAATTTCTTGAAAACACGCGCATGCAGGTGTGCTGCAATCTGATTGGTTGAAACTTTAAATGTCTATAACTCCCTTGGTTTTCAACAAAACAGGATGAAATTTACGACATGGATAGGCACGTAGAGCTCCTACATTATGATACTATCAAAACTGAATGCAAGGCCATACATGCGCGTATGCTGAATTCTGATTGGCTAATACTTAAAGGGTTACATCTCTCTTATTTTTCAATGAGATTCTTTAATATTTAACACAAATGTATGTATTGTGAGACACTATAAGAAAATTAATGTGAAAAATGTAGAAAACATGTGCAAGCACATGCGCTGAAATTTGATTGGCTAATACCCATATGGCTATATCGGAGTAGTTTTCCAATGAAATACTCTTAAAAATAAAATGTCCATCTATATTACAAAAGTATTGTTCAATTTATTGAAGCTTGTAGGGAATGGGGCATTATAAGGGATTGGGGAGCCGTTTGGGGAACATCTGTAACGGTTCCCGTTACAATTAGCACTAGTTTATCATGATATAGTTTTTATAGTGTAGAAAATGAATTACTGAGGCAACTGCAGCTTTTGAAACCGTTTCCTCTAAAAGAAAAGTACAAAAAAGAACTCTACTGTCATCCAGTTCAACTCGCTAATTTTTCAAACTGATTTCCTTAAAATTAACAAAATTACAGTTTGAAATGTACATAATGTAACAAAATAAATGTTATGACTGACAGTGTGAAATATTGTAATCACTCCAAAACGAATAAACACAATATATAAACAAACCAGTATTATCACGAGTGTTTTCAGCAGACAATATTCACTCACAGCAAATTTTAATGTAGGGATTCTGTTTCATTATTTATTATTTTGTCAAATTAAGTTTGTCACACACCCTGTGCGCCATTATACGTTGGAATTTTTTCCGGATTTCCTCTTTTGTTTTCTCTGAAATAGAATGAAACAAAAAGTCATTTATAACAGTATACTTTTTTTCAAAATCATATAGAATTCTACCTTTCATATACATTTTAATACAGGATTCTAATTTGGAATACGGTAAAAATTAAGTAACTGGACTTCCTGTCAAAGATCAAAAAAGATATATATCTTTTTAAAAATCTTTCAATATGCTGAAAAGCTGAAATACTTATTAGCTCACTTGAGCTTAAAATGTCCAGTCATCTTTTCTGATCAAACCTTATTCTGTAATGTTTCCGCATTTTCGACCTCTTTTCAAGAAACATTTTAAGTAGAATTGACAGGTAATCCCCTTAAGGAAAGGGAATTAAAAATTATATAAATAAAATGTCACCCCCTTTTTTTGACAGAGACAATCAAGGAAAATAACAGTGCAGTGGTGTCTCAAAAAATCATTAAGAACCACTGGTCTTGAAAAGACGATGCTTAAGGAAAAGCTAAATACGTAGATTTGAAATTGTTCCATCATACTAAGAATTAATTTTTCCGGATAACCATTAGGTCAAAAAAGTTCATCGTGTGTACAATTTCTGACTATAAATTTATAGGCCTTTTGAATGATGACCATGATCTAAATTTAATATGAGTGAAATAATTCTCAACGGCATGTTATAGAAACAAACAAATCGACACGCCACAACTTTCCGGCTTGTACTTGTGTACTGACACCGTCTCGACATGAATTCATTTTATTACCGGTAAATCTATAATGCATTCTATAAACAACAGGTACTGGTCCACTTACCATCTTCGTCTTCCTTACAGCATCCACAACAACAAGAACGAAACGCTTTGCCACAGGTACAAAAGGTGATAACCCGATATATTCTGTAGAATGTCCATACTAGATTAACTGGTGAAGGAACTCGATATTTGTAATTCATGATCACGGTGTAACGTTCAAATCGCCAAAGGTTCTCAGCATTAGCTGTTACTCTCTCATATGTAGAACTGTTTAAAGAAAATCCACCGTGATTAAAATTCTTCGTTAAATGTCTTATTACTGGAACAGTTGAAAAAATAAATTTGAACAAGCATTCTGCGAGTATTGCATTAGCAATACTAGTCCACGACCAGCTAGTGTAATCTGGTTCCCGTTAAAAATTGAAAAAGCCATAATTCCGTCAAAAATCAATGAAGCGGAACGAAATGCGAACTTTATCTGTAACTCATCGAGAAAGTCACAAACCAAAAATCAGCTCAATATCTGCAAGCGTTTAGAAAAAAATTTCGGAAAACCCTGAAAAATTGAAAAGGTCGTAAATCCGTCAAAAATCATTGAAGGGGAACGAAATGCAAACTTGATCTGTAACTCATCGAGATTCACTCACATACCAAAAATCACCTCAATATCTGCAAGCGTTTAGAAAAAAAAGTGCGGAAAACCAAGTGGGACAGACTGAGAGACAGACAGAGGGACAGACAGAGGGACAGACAGACGGACGGACAGACTCAGAGGAAACCTATAGCCCCCTCCAGTTTCACCGGTAGGGGACTAATAAAACAAGAGATGTTTGTGAAACACTTATGACCCCCCCCCCCCCCCCTTGTCTGGACATACATTATAGGATTTGCTCGATCGTACCCAGAACCGAATTTGACATAGATATTCTTATGATAAATCTATATATTAAAGTTCATTTCAGTATGTCCAAGGGGCATAACTCTGTCAAAAATTGCTCGATCATTTCCAAAACAGAATTTAACCTAGATATTCTTATGATAAATCTGTGTACGAAATTTCATTTCAGTAGTTTTAACCTCTGCGAAGAAAATGAACGAAAACTGTTGCTGGACCGACCGACAGACAGACCGGCAGACTGACAGCAGCAAACTAATATGCCCTCCCTTCCTCGACGGCATAATTATGATTAAATTAGAATGTACAGGGTATTTATGTCTAAATATATAAGGATGGTTTATTTTAATTTTCAATTAAATGTTAACTTAACCTCTGTTGATTTGTCGTTCATTGCAAACCAGTTACCTGAACATAGCAATAACCAGGTTAACAAGCAAGAGATTGGAGAAGAGCATGTAGAGAGCTGACACGGCTCCTACTGTCCAATCTTCCCGAGGACACCTGTCTTCCGAGGCATCCGACCAAATGGTCTCATTTGCTGTACATTCATCTGCACAGGGTCCTGTATTTCCTTATTGAATCAAAAAAGATACTGTACTTGATAAGTACTTAAATATCTCATTAGAAAGAACTTTCACTTTTCATGCATGCTACCCCTTTTTATTTATAAAAGGTAATAATAATAATAAGGACCCGTTGGCCGACCAATCGTGCCAAACAACCTTTTTCTTGAAATGAAACCTTGGAACACTGGATTCCCTCAAAATAATATACTTTTTCGTCGCATGGCTAAAGATCAAGTGTCTAACTACACAAGATTTAGAACCAGTTATGATGTTTATTTTTGTTAGATTATACTGCACAGAATAAGATGTTATGCTGTATACATGTATATGTTTAAAAAACAAACAAACGAACTATGGACAAAATTAACTTTGAAGATTGTTTATTCATTTTTGCTTCAAACGATTGATTTTCTAGATGAAGTACGATCTTTTATTTGCGATTTTATAAGATATTTGCTACCAAATATCTTAACATACATTTGTTTGACAGAAATCGCACTCGGTATGTTGGATGTTCTAATGAATTACGTGACCTCTATTAATTTTAAAGTTGAAAGTCAAAAGACCGTTTAATAGCTTTAAAACAATTTACTTCAGACACGTCCAACTTTGTTTTTCTTTAAAAGTAACCGTCACGGCAGCTCAGTCGGTAGAGCGCTCGCTCCTCGATCGGATGGCCGTGTGTTCGAATCATGGCCGGGACTGACCTAAGTCGATAAAAATATCGACTTATCGATAAGTCGATAAGGTAGCAACTGTTCCTTTGCCAAGCGCTCGGCACTTTGAAGTGAAAATTGCGGGTCCTTTGGATGAGACTTTAAAAACCGAGGCCCCGTGTCACGTAGGCGTTGGCACGTTAAAGAACCCTCACTGCTCAATGGCCCTGAGTGCCGACTAAAGGTCTAAATTTGAAGCCCTTCACCAGCATGGTGACGTCTCTATATGAGTGAAAAATTCTCGAATGGGAGTAAAACAACATACAATCAATCAATCAATCTTAAAAAGTTTATGACCCTAATTTAAAGTCACAAGCTAAAAGGTCACGGGTCAAATTATTAGGGGCATGGGAATATATTGTTTTATGTAAGGTGTTGTTTTCGATGTCATCATTTCGAAGTAGCATTGAAGTTTAAAAAGAATGATATTCACGTAATGTTTTAAATATGATAGTTTCAGTTATAATCATAAACTTTAAAAAATGTTTACTTTCTAACATTATACAATCATTTCTTATGGTAAATTAAAGACCAAGGGACCGTTTTTTAAAAGAACGACTAAGACTAAAATTTAAATCTGTTAGTAACTTTTAAATTTACATTAAATAGAAAATGGTTTTAATCTTTATAAAATGTATGTAGAAAGATACTTTTACTTTAGTAATTTTAAACAGAATTATTAATTTTGCAAAGTTTTAAAATCAAATCAAGTTTATGGTCTTGGTCGTAAGTTCTTTTGTTAAACGGGCCCCAGGTTTTTTGAGATAAAAGACAATTGCCTTTTCAATGGAAAAAAATAATACTATTTCAAAGTTCAATGCGGCAGACAGATTTTTTTTTTGTATTAAGCAGGTGTTATATTTTTTTATGTCAATCGTTCAACAAATGATAATACCATTTTTTTCGTTTTCTTAATTAATTATAATATGTATTCAACTTTAGATAATGTTATTCCAAACATCTGTTCAAAAATAATGTATTAACAAGAAATATAGTGTTTATCTATTAAACGTCTATATTCATGAGCATTTGTGAAAAGGGGAATAACACAATTTCCTTTTATAACTTGGAGAAATAGAAAATTAAGTTATTTCTCTTTTCAATATGTCAATAATGTTTTTGACCTGATGCGGCGGTGTCTGAGAAACCTGGTTAATGGTTTCATTGGGGGGCGGGGGGGGGGGGGGGTAATTTTATTTTTGGCCTAAATTTACTTTTCTTCTCATTGTTCATTTGCAACATTGTTTATTTAAAATTCCTGACTCTAACAAATACTCTTTAGTTGATACTAGAAAGATGCTAAGTGTCTGGTTAAAAATAAATAAATAAATAAAAATAAATTTTATCGAGATCACGTCTTCCAACAATCTGTCGGACGTCCTCTTGCGTCCAATTATAAGCAGATCTATTTGTGTATACATATCAAGCAGAATTTATTCCAAAACTGATACACAAGAACCACATACAAAAATGCTTTTGGATCGCTTAAATCTGACTAAACAAAAAAATTTGGATGTCTGAAAATTTTTTAACACTTTTTTGCAAGTCGGATTAAAGCGGTAAATGAGGATTTATATAGGCCTAAACACTTGCCTTGATTTTTACATTTAGTTATATAGAAAATATCTTATCAATTTAAGACAATTAACATTAGTTCCTTTTATCTATGTCGACGAGATATATCCCAGTGACCTTGAAATTAAAGATACAGTCTTCCACATCTGTTTCATATTTCGATATTTACTAGAGGATGTCAGCGGTGAACTTACAACCAAATTTTATGATAAACGTGATGACTTCAACTTTCATATCGTCAACTTTCTAACAATATACCATTACCAACTCTCTTATAAAATAGTTGATTCGATATGCAAGAGAATACTCTAGGTACGATAATTTTTTTTTTCGATACGAAAGAGCATGGAGAAACAATCTTCCATTTATATTTATACAGTATGAGAATTTACAAATGAAAATGAAAACCATATTACGGGAAAAACTTTTAAAAGAAAATTTTAAGAATTATTCAACGCTTATTTAAGAGATACCTTGCAGGAAGTCGTTGAATGTTTCTCCGTAGAGCTGCCAATAAGGATAATAAATAACTTTCCAGATTCTCCAGTCTGTCCATCTTCCTTCCCAGAAAAATACATGATCTGGCCATAGATTAGCGTGGTAGTAGAAACCAACACCAAAGATCACCACGGCGAGCAGAATGATGAATGCAAAAAGGTCCTTGAGCTAAACAAATTAAAATACATGTAACAGATATATGTGTTTCGAACGATTTCTTTGCAATTAATGGAAATTAATTTGAAAGATAAATTATTATTTAAGATTATGTTGGTTCAAAGTAAGGCAGAAAAAAGCGATTGGCTAAGATACTCGTATGGAAAGCATTTTATGCTGGACAGTTTATACTTTTATAATGATATTTAACTTTAACCTTACCCATAACTTTTGATTGGTTGGAGCTATGACTTTAATATTTCACATGTGTATTCCTTGTGAAAAGACCTTTCGTTGGGTACCATCATATTTGACCTTGGAGTTTGACCCACTTTTGCAAAATTTTATAAGACTTTAACCTTGGCCATAACTTTTGAACAGTTGGTACTTGGGCTTTCAAACTTCACACGTGTATTCCTTGTGACAAGACCTTTCTTTGGACACCAATAACTTTGACCCTTTGACCTTGAAATTGGAGTTTGACCTACTGTTGAAAAAATTTTAACCTTGGCAATAACTTTTGAACAATTTGTGGCTTTCAAACTTCACATGTATATTCCTTGTGACAAGACCTTCCTAAGGATACCAACAACTTTGACCTTTTGACCTTGGAGTTTGACCTACTTTAATTTTGAAAAACCTAACTTTTGCCATAACTTTTGAACAGTTAGTGCTAGGAATTTCATACTTCACATGTGTATACCTTGTGACAAGACCTTTTTTGGACACCAATAACTTTGACCCTTTGACCTTGACCTTGGTGTTTGACCTACTGATGAAAAAACTTTAACCTTGGCCATAACGTTTGAACAATTTGTGTTAGGGTTTTATACTTCACATGTATATTCCTTGTGACAAGACCTTCCTTTGGACACCAACGATTTTGGCGTTGACCTTGATCTTGAAGTTTTTTGACCTACTTTTACAAAAAATTGACCTTAGCCATAACATTTTAACGTTCGGTTCTAGGGCTTTCACATTTCAGGATTATGTGTATCACTAGTGACAAGATGGACTTTGACTTGCATTTGAGAAACTTTCACCTTCGCCACAAGCTGCCATACGGGGGCATCAGTGTTTCACAAACACATCTTGTTTAAGAAATTGTATTTCCAAATTTCATCAGATACAAATGACCATGATGTGATTCATTCATGTTCTCCGAAGTTTAGAAATAAGCTATGAGGATAACCTCAAAAGTCCATTGATAAAATACATACTGAGAACAGGAACATCAGAGGTGAGATAAGGCTTACATGCCCTAAACTTATCTTGATAGATAGTAGCAATTTCTAAGTAAGGATCATTTAAAGATGAATTTATCTTTCTTATGTTTTTAAAGCTTTTTTGAAATTTTGTTTTTAAACTATGCAAAATTTTAGAGTCCTTTATGATGGTCCTTCCTGTTAAACATTCTTAGTTTTAGCAATGTTATTTTTTTTTCATTTTTTGTTGCCAAGTTAACCTAGTATTATAAACAGTTTACCATTTCCTTGATCATAATAAGCGTAGGACCCAATGTCCTAACCATCAAAAATGCTTCCAGAAAGCGTAGATACATAATAAGTAACGACAAAGAAAACATCCTACGAGCCACTGTAAACGTTTCAGAAGGATGCATGTGTCGTACAAACAGAGCCGTAATCAACAGTGCATAAGACAGAAGATCTACTATATTCCAAAAATTGTTTAAGTATCTCCAAAATATCGTCCAATTACTGCGATAGGATTTTCCGTCAATACCAGTGTCGTGGAAAATTCCCTGAAAAAATACAATTAAAAAAAATCAATAATCTTTTGCTAAAGAATGTCGATCCCTTTTGCCAATTTTTTTTTTCTTTCGGAAATAATTCACGTGGCTCTGACGTGAACTCAATCCCCCTCTTCCTTAGTCTTATTGAAATCAGATTACTTACAAAGCAGGTGAACAGTTCCTCCAACAGATCACCGAATCCCCAGAAGTACACGTAATACTCAAATGCTCTTGCTAGGACCCTTGTATAATATCTAGTACTAATACTGGTAGACACAAAGGCACTATAGCTGACCAGCATTGTCAAAAACAGAACCTAAAAAGAAACAAAATGTGTCTTTTATGTAGAAATATTTGAAAGGTCAAAGAAGTTGAATTTACAACAGGTGTACATGAAACAAAAAAAAATATCGAATGCTGCTTTCACCTCTTGAATCTTAAGATTGCCTTGTCTACCGGACACGACCCCAAGTGCCCTTTGTCATGATCGGTAAAGGGAGATAACAGAGTTAATTCAGAATGAAAAATATGAAATAATGACCAAGCAATTTATGTAGGAGATGTTAGTCAGCATTCCACTTAACTACATATTGCATTTTCAAAAATGGTCAATGCATCAACCATAGAATCTGCTTGATGTTTTTAACGTGATCGAAAATGAAAATAGCCTTAATGACCAACCTATTTGTCTGTAGTTTAACTCATTTTAGAAATAGGAACATGCTCTTGCCTGTCGGACCAACTTAGAGACGTTTACCCTTTATAAACATTTACCCTATATAAACATTAAGAAATGTAGTTGTTCTCCAGTAATGTAGATAAAATCGATGGAAAGTGAAATCTTACTGGCAAAACTCACTGACAAATCTAAATAAATAAAAAATTTTTTTTAAAAATATGAAGAGACAACAATATGTGTAAACAGGTCTGTTACTGTTTTCACATCCGCATTTAAAGTTTAAAGAGATCAGAATGAAACTGATATAATTGATACATTGCATTTTTTAAAAAAATGTTGTAATTGGGCAGATAGAATTGGAGGAGAAATTTTGGTATTTTACGTGCTTTGAAAAGAATTGCGAATTCATATTTACAAAAAATATTAAATTTCTTTGAGGTAGTAAAATGGCTGTATTAAAACCACGACATGAAGTTCCACTGAACTTGCACCTCCCCCCCCCCTCCCCCGACCTCGAAAATTTGACCCTATAATACATGTTTGTGACATTTACGTATTGTAATTTAGTGATGACTACTTCTATTATCTATATAATTGCTAAACTAAACCAAACTTACTATATGTGATAATAATGGAAGCACTGTCAAGATAATTAAAAAGAAATATATGAGGAGTAACATTTTGAACAAAAATATTCAAAGAAAGGCGGCGAAAATTTTATATCATTATAATAACCATACCGGACTAAATATTTTTCTGATAGAAATTCACAATGTTGTTATACTTACATAATTAAAGATATATTTTGCCAGCGGTGATCTCAAAACATTGCCAACATTGCATGGTTTTTGGCATATGGACTGATGAAATAAAGAAAACACAATGAAATAAGAAGAATACCAACAGTTATCAAGCTTAAAAGTTCATTGAAACAATAAAAATTGTGAGCAGAGCAAACATGTTCTCTAAATAACAGAAGTGGAAGTAGGTGCCAAGCATCCCATATCAACCGGTTACACCCGCCGTCTGCTCCTTGTCATGATCAGGAAAACGGAAAAAATATAGACAATTTAGTGTGAATATAAGGTTTTAACGATTTCTGCGAAAAACATCAACTTATGACTTAACAATAGATTGTCTTTGCTGAAAAGGTCACTGTATCGACCATAGAATTTGCGATATGTTGCTTTTTACAATGTTGTTGATATCCTTGTTTCTCAACTTATTTGTCAATAGCTTGCCTTGTTTCAGAAATTGTTCGCAAGCAGAGTGTGGTATTGCGTATCGAATCAACTGGGACACATAAACTCTATATGCAAGTGATGATGGTATATTGCTTAGATAAGGGAAGTTGACAATAGAGAAGTTGAAGTTATCAAATTTATCATTAATCTTTCTTGTTAGGTTTTTCATAAATGTGCTATGAGTCACGGTCATGTTTGTTGGATATGACAGGTCATTAACGACATTTGGAAAAATATAAATGGAGTAGTTTGCATATATAGTGAAGAATGTAGGGATATATAATTATATTATGTAAAAATTGGTACCGTATATAATTTAAATGTATATGAAATATGGAGATAACAAGCAGTATTCAAGCTCAAAGTACATTTAGACAATACAAATCAGGAGCCGAGCAAACAGGAGCCTCCAATAACATCAAAGGTGGGATCAGGTGCCATGGAGGCGTGAGCATCCCCTGCCGACCGGTCACTCCCGCCGTGTGCTCCTTGTCATGATCGGGAAATACGAAAAAATCCGTAGACAATTAGTGTTTAAATAATGGCCTAACAATTATTATGAAAAAAAGTCAGCATTTGACTTAAGGATAGGTTGTATATTTTATTCTAAATTGCATGAAAGCACATTTTATTCGAAACATAAACTCCACAGTATATCAATGACATTACCAGAATTAATATGATTAATCATCCTTAAAAGAGGAGGGCCAAAGTTGCTGCATGCTGTTAAACAAATACCTTTATACAAGGGATAAAATGTGGCGCTTGACCTCTGTACCAAGTTTTGTTCAGGTGTTTCTGACTGGCAGGTTTGGCCACGAACTCGTACATGAAATTTTCATATGCAAAAGTCAGTGGATTACTTTTTATTCCCCAGATGTCAACAGAGTCGTCAAGAAGGTCTAACGTCTTACTGGAATCGGTTTCATACATGCAGTCAAGAAGCGCTAAAGTTCTGGTGTAAAACAGTCTAAAAATACAAAATTTATAGGTAGTTTGGGTGAATACAAAAATGTTCATGCAAGTTTGCAGTAGAAAAGTTAACGAGAATCAGGTCATCGGTGCTTTTTTTAAGCATTGAGAGTCTAAAAGGAATTTAAAAAGTTTTTGCAAATAAAAAATCTAAGAAATAACATTTGTTCAACCACATTGTTTACAGGGCTAAAACCGTAAAAGAATAGAAACAAAGAAAATAATCAACAAATATATTTTTAGGGAAAAAAATAAAGGTATCTAGGCATTTGAAAAAAAATGCTTTTTTCAATGCAAGTCAAACTTCATTATCTGGAACTCGATGGGTAAATTTAGATATATATTCGCAAGCATGTTCGATTACTCAACTCCTGATTTTCAGAACCCGAGGATCGGACTACCTTAAGAGCCTTTAATCATACCGAGGTGCATGAAATAAAAATTACTGCACAAAAATTTTCAAATTTCAAGTTCAATTTCAAGCTTTATTCCTAAATCAGAGAAAATTTTCTCCTTCATGACTAAGAACTGGATATCCTTTAACAACTGTCTTTTGTCAACCCAATAAATGTGCTTTAAAATGGAAAATTTAATTTTACTTGAATATAATTTTGAAACATGTTGCAAAATATTTTTTTTCAGTTATTGAAAACATTTATAAAGTACCTAAAAAAGTATTCCAAATGAAAGAAATACTGTGGAATAATTATATTTTGTGGTGGCTCGATTTTCGGAAATTTCGTGGCACCTCTCATCAACGAACTACTTAACTTCAAAAATTAATAAATTAGGATTACACGTTCTATTTCCGATGAAGGTGTAAGAGAATACACGAAATTACCTCCCCTCGAACCTGTAAAATTAAGGCAATCTACAAAAATTGCCCCCCCCCCCCTTTTTTTAATGTAAAGGTATTTAAAAAAAGATATCAATGCAACTCTTCTTTGTGGTAGATAATAAAAACGTAACTGCATATACAAATCAAAATGGAAGAATACATGTACAATAAATAATCTTACTGAGCATGATCCAGCAATGTCTTTGAAAAATTTTGCTCCTTTACGTCACTGGCTTCCTCCGACAATTTCCGTAATGCTTCGTAGCAAACCAAACCAGTCACTGTAATTATTTTTTTTTTCAATTTTTTTGAAAACTTCACACTGAACTATCAACTTGTAAAATGTAACCTAACTATATATTCACACAGGTGCTTGTTAACATGACCCCTTCCTCATGTTTACACTGGGGATCCAAGAATATTTTTAATCTGTCTTCTTTTATTAATTTTTTCAACCAAATATTTACAACGCAAAGTGGATAGTTATGATGAATAAAGGTTTTTCTTTCCAAATTTTTAAAACTTGTGGTCAGTGCTTCTGGTGTGTCTCGGGGATGGGGGTGGTGTTCTATCTATAATTTAGTAGAACTGTGTTATTTCTTTGAAAATCTATGCTCATGGGCATATCGGATGCACACTGAGTAAAAGTCTTAATGGGCAAATCGTAAGAGTAAACAGGTCTGAGTTAACCAAATGTTGACAAAAGATTATTATTATAATGTAAAAAAAATGCATACAATTTCCCTTCTTTATGTGGAATCTATTGAAATTATCGTAAATATATGCCTGAAGACTAAAGTTGATCGATTGATTGAATATTGTTAAGCTTCCCATTCGAGTTATGATGTGATCAAAAATAAAGATAAAATTTGTATTTCAAAATCTGAACCTTAAGAATGAAGTTAAAGAAAACAAACTTTAATGGTTTCCATGTAAGTTCCCTAACAAAAAAATACTATAGTAAACTATAGTTAACTATAGTTTACTATAGTTAACTATAGTACCAAAGTAAAAACTTTGGAACTTTGATTTACTATAGTAAAAACTTTGGAACTTTGATTTACTATAGTGAAAACTTTGGAACTTTGATTTACTATAGTAAAAACTTTGGAACTTTGATTTACTATAGTTAAAACTTTGGAACTTTGATTTACTATAGTAAAAACTTTGGAACTTTGATTTACTATAGTGAAAACTTTAGAACTTTGATTTACTATAGTAAAAACTTTGAAACTTTGATTAAGGTCAGACGATACGTTCCCCAAATGTCCGTTTTATAGACCTTCGAATTATGTGGAAAATATTCAAAATTTTGATTACCTTCTGATTTCTAAACTGGTTTCTAATTGTCTTTTTAAAAATGAAACACCTAAAGATGTGTTATTGACTAATTAAGTTTTTTCCAAAAGGATTTTATAGGAAAAGCATCCTTTGGTATCTTGCACAAATGCCTGGTAAGGTACCTCAATTTTTTTGCGAGTAAACATGTTAAAGTAGCAATACTTCAATGATAAAATCTTAGAAAAAATTATATATTATTGAGGAACGTATCGTCTGTCCTTAAGTACGATAAATCCCGTGGAATTATGTTTTTGATTCCCATTCTTTACATTTTATGATAATTCAAGTTTTAGATTCATAAAAGCTTTAGAGAACATTTTAAAAACCCGACCCCTCCCCTAAAAGAATAATGTGCAAGATATGAATTTCAATGTAAAGGTTGTCGCTTGCGCCGATTAGTAAGCAATATTTATTTTAATGTTTTTAATTTTAATGTTATGCAGATGTAACGTAAGTTTTGTTTATGGGGAAAAATAATATATTATAAAAAATTTGTGTCATTAAGAATCAAAATATCTGCTTCATCAACTTCAGTCAACATGTATTTTTTTTAATTATAAATGTAAATATTGCATTTGAATTAACTACTTTGTATATTTAGATAAAGATGTACAACAAAAACCAGCCCCAACCAACCCCATATCCACCCCCTCCCCTAAAACGTCTAAATAATAATAAAAAAATAATAAAAGTAAATAAGTTGTTAAACTAATGAAAAAACTTTGAAACTTTGATGAAGTATAAGAAAAACATTGAAACTTTAATTAATTATAGTAAAAACTTTGGAACTTTGATTTACTATAGTAAAAACTTTGGAACTTTGATTTACTATAGTTAAAACTTTGGAACTTTGATTTACTATAGTAAAAACTTTGGAACTTTGATTTACTATAGTTAAAACTTTGGAACTTTGATTTACTATAGTGAAAACTTTGGAACTTTGATTTACTATAGTTAAAACTTTGGAACTTTGATTTACTATAGTTAACTATAGTAAACTATAGTTAACTATAGTTTACTATAGTATTTTTTTGTTAGGGTTATCACACTTTTTCAATAGAACAATCCAAGAAAAAGACGCAAAGATACTTTACTCGTTACATATGGCGCGAAATGGCTGTGTCACCCCTTTTGTAAAAAGATAAATAGACTTGTCGAATAGTTAAGAACGCAAAAAAAATGTAACATGGACATGTCCGTATAGGGAATCGCAAAATATAAACAGGTGCATGCCCAAAAATAAATAAATAAAAAAAAAATGAAGGAAGTAAACACATCAATAATTTGCCTCAGTGATATCTATACTTATAAAAAATCTACTTTTATTTTCTATAAACAGCCATGAAATAGCAAAAACGTGAGTACGGTGGCGTTTCCGGTTGGCGGATTTAAGTTACTGGCAGTTTTTAATGAAACTGACAACAAGCAATCGTTTATTTATTTCATAAAAGGTCATCACTTTATTATTCAATCAAAATTTGATTTAAATGATATAAAAGAAATAAGTTGTGATAACCGATTAAAAAGGGAAATGTGCAAATTATTTTCGTCATTCGGCAATCTTAATATTGACGGAAGCTTATAGAACATCATATAGCATCGAGCCCGATGTTAAAAAGAAAAACGAGGCGATTGTAGCTGCATGAACATTAAAAAAAAACTTTTGTGTGAATGATCATTGAAAGAATAGTAAATCATTGATAACACTATAAGTTGTGAATATATTTATATATCGAAAGACTATTACATAAATGTAGTAGGTTTTTCTAATAAATTTATCGGTAAAATTTGTATTTTTCTTTCTGACAGGATCGTGGCAACGAACCCGAAGTACAATTTGTACTTCGTAATAAACTTTGCTTACATGAAAAGAGAAAATTAATGAATAAGGTATTTTTCAAATATAATTAAAGCTGTAAAATGTTGTGCTTTAATCATTACATTTCAGTTTTTTTTTCCTGAATACAGTCTTTTGTATCAAATACTCGGCCTATTCATAGGGCGTTAAACAGCTAATTTTTACACAGGTACTTGAGTCTTGGTATATAAATATGTATGTACTGGGTACCTTATTGATATGTAAAAAAGGTAAAGTACATTTTTTACATATCAATAAGGTACATACATATTTATAAATCAAGACCCAAGTACCTGTGAACCTGTGACCCCCCCCCCCCCCAATCAATTTATCAATAAAATGTGTTTATTTACTCCTTTTATCCTTGGCGGAAATGAAATAAGAGCAACTGAAGCACAATATCCATAACATTGTATAAGAGGTTTCACAATACATGTCAATTAAGAAATTGTATCATTTAATTTTGAATAACCCGCGTGGCGCGTTGGTTAGAGCGTCTGCTCTAGAGTCGCGAAGTAAGGAGTTGATCCTTACGTCGCTGGTTCGTATCCCACTGTGGGACGTGGAGACCGGTCCTTCGCATGAGACCGTATAAACCGAGGTCCCGTGTCGCAGTAGGTGCTGGCACGAAAAAGATCCCTCACTGCTCAATGGCCGTAAGTGCCGAGTATAGGTCAGAATTTGTAGCCCTCCACCGGCAAGTGGTGGCGTTTCCATATGAGTGAAAAATTCTCGAGAGGGACGTTAAACAACAAAACAATCAATCAAAATGCCACTCCTCCTACAGTTTTGGTCTGATTACAGTATAACTTGGCACATAAATAGACTACACTAAAATACATAATTCTGTTTATCGGTTTTGATTTCAAAGAACAGTATTGGCATGGTTTCTAAAAATAGAAATTTCTGTGAAATACCTTCAAAACGGTACTCCTCGTACAGTTTTGGTCTGAATTCAATCTAACTTGGCACATAAGTAGATTACACTGAAATACATATTTCTGTATATCCACCTCTTGATTTTGGTGAAGTGTTGCCATGGTCACAAAAAAATTGAAATTTCTTTGATATACTTTCATAGCATTACTTCGCCTACGTTTGGTTTGATTTTATAACGTGGCATGCAAATAGACTACGCTGAGATACTTAATTGTTTTTTTTAATTGTTTTTTGATGAATGATGTTGCCATGGTAACTAAAATCGGAATTTTTTCTAAAATTCTTTTAAAAGGCTACCCCTTCTACAGTTTCAGTTTGATTGCAATTCATCTTGCCACAAAATGAGAGTACTGTAAAACAAATGTTATAATTTATTATTGCCATAGAAAATTTCAAGTTCAAGTGCTCCTTTTCTCCTCCTTTGTTATAAGTACAAACCAGTAGAGCTACAGTCTCGACAGATACTTCTTAATACATTTATGTTTTTTATATACTATCAGGTGTCTTTCCAATTTTTTTTCTCCGTGTTTTGAAGAGAAAATGAGTTTTAATTAATTTCTATGACTTTAATCAATTTCTTTAAAATAATACGTTCACTGATAAAATTCATTTTTTTGTGGTTGTTTTGTGAACATATACCAGGAAAAAACAAATTTGTTGTGCTACTTATCAAAATTCAATGAGAAAAATATTTTAAATTTTTTTATTTTCAAAAAATTCTATATATTTTAATTTGGACAGTTTTTAAGGGTTGAAATGCTTATTAAAAGTAACGCTGAATAGTATAAGAACATATGCAGGGTGTGTGTGGAGGACCATTAACGCAAACATATCACAAAGTGCGAATGCACGGTAGTAGCAATTTGCTTTGGGTAAAGGTCAACGACTGACTTTCATCAAATAACATACTAAGTTGGTGTTCTCCTCTAAGCCAAACTGTTTCTGCAATCTCCGGTCTATTGGCATATAAAGCCCAAAGAAGTATATCTTCCAGTTCGGCTGGTTGATTATCTTCTTCGTCACTTTCTTCGTCGTCACTGCTCGTCTCTGGCTTTACTTTTTTAGATTTCTTCTTTTTCTTCATCTTCTTTTTCTTCTCATTCTTCGTTTCTGAAAAAAATATTACATGCTTACAAATTGTTTTTTACTGTCATTCAAGACAATTATTATAAATATTAAAAGTTGTTTCCATACAAATATTGCCATTGGGGGTTGGAGGGACGTATATGTTTTTCAAACATTTCTTGTTTCATAAGAAGAAGCCGTTTCTATAACAAGTAATAAGAAAAAAATATTTGAACAGACACTGCACCGTTTGAAAAGGTCAGTTTTACATAAAAAAGACAAAAATCTTTTTAAGCAATAGATCAGTTTGGTATACAAGTAACAATGAAAAAGAAAGCACATGTATTTGCAATATGAAATCAACTTATCTATTACATACTCTTGTAATCGAGTAGTTCTCTGCAAATGGTCTTTGGAGCCTTAATTGCCTTCTTCACCTTCTTCTTGTTAAAGCATTTGTCAGTTTTCTTTCTGTTTATTGACTGAAATTATTTGAGCTTATGAATTGAGATTACATCTTTTTCCTTAAACAATAACAAATTAAAGATGGCGTAAAAATGTTAGATAACATGTAAAATAACGCTTATTTCTCTCCACTACAGACATATTAGATACGAGTATATAAAAAGTCCTCGACTTACCTTCATCAGCCACATCATTCCCAAACAATCACATTCCTCGATTGCTTTAGGATGGTTGGTACAAAGTATAGTCTAAAAAAAAATTGAACTTGAAGTAAGCATTTCTTAGGGTTAACTTTTACGGTTTGTAAAGGAAGAAAAAGGTTGCTGTAGACGTTTTCTTCTACAGAGCACTAAAACATTTTGGTTGGTTTAGTTTTTTCCACAAGAAAAAAAAACTGTTATACCCCTGCTCCGAAGGAGAGGGAGATATATTGTTTTACCCTTGTGTGTCTGTCTGTCTGTCCGTCCGTAACAAATTTTGGTTGCAGTTTTCTCAGCAATTACTCATCGCTGATGCTTGAAATTTTAGCACACTGCTGAGAAGTCTGCGACCAAAATTTGTAATGTATGGTACGGACAGACACACGGATAAACAGGAAGTTGACATCGGATTTTTAAAAAATGAATCGCACCATATGGCATGCCTTAACGAAGATTGTGCTAAAATTTCAAGCATCTGCGATGTGTAGTTGCTGAGAAAACTACGACCAAAATTTGTTATGTATGGTACGGACAGACACACGGATAAACAGGAAGTTGACAATGGATTCGTACAAAAATGAATCCCACTATATGGCATGCCTAAACAGAGAGTGTGCTAAAATTTCAAGCATCTGCAATGAGTAGTTGCTGAGAAAACTGCGATCAAAATTTGTTACGGACAGACAGACACACAAGGGTAAAACAGTATATCCCCTCTCCTTCGGAGCGGGGGAATAAAATATTTTTTCGCGTTATAACGTTTAACATTTTGCGAATAAACGCGTAATTTTCGCATTATAACGCTCAAATAAACCAAGGACCAAGAATAATTGTCTTCTTTCAAAGGAAGTACTTAAGATATATAAAAAAAATAAATGAAAAAAAAAATGACTGTCTATAACTGATTCCAGAGCTGAATAAAGAAAATTAATATTGCAGAACTATTATCATTACAAAACTTACGGTACTGTAAAGAGTTGGTATATCTTTCCGTCTAACAATTACACCATGATCCATGAGTACCTTAACGTAATCCGTTCGATTGAATTTTAGAGCCTCAAGCAACAACATCTGTAATGAAAAATGTGAAGATGAACAGTGATCGATGTAAAATTTAAGTAATAATAATATATGAACACGGACCCAGGGAAATTCCAGTGGTAGGATCGGTGCCTAAGAGGCCTAAACATATCATATCGACCGGTCATAAACGCCATGAGCCTTAATTTTAAAATAATGGAGGACCTGTTCTTAAATGTATATTAAACAATGAATCAGACATTACAGTATGTGTGACAAGATTTGATTGAGGTTCTATTATCTTTCAGGAAAAAAGTAAAAGGTAAAGATAACGAACAGTGATTGATCTCAAAAATCCACGTGTCGCCCGCGTGGCGCACTGGTTAGAGCGTCTGCTCTAGAGTCGCGGAGTAAGGAGTTGATCCTTACGTCGCGGGTTCGAATCCCACTGTGGGACGTGGAGACCGGTCCTTCGGATGAGACCGTATAAACCGACGTCCCGTGTCGCAGTAGGTGTTGGCACGAAAAAGATCCCTCACTGCTCAATGGTCCTGAGTGCCGAGTTTAGGTAAAAAAATTGCAGGGGCCCGTTTTACAAAAGAGCTTACGACTAAGACCAAAATTTAATTCTGCTAATAACTTTCTAATTTACATTAAATAGAAAATGGTTTTAATCTTTTTAAAAGGTATGAGAAAGATACTTTTACCCTTGCAATTGTAAACAGAATCATTAATTTTGCAAAATTTTTACAATCAACTAAATTTTTGGTCTTAGTCGTAAGTTATTTTGTAAAACGGGCCACAGCTCTCCACCGGCAAGTGGTGTCGTCTCCATATGAGTGAAGAATTCTCGAGAGGGACGTTAAACAAGAAACAAACAAACAAAAAAACAAAAATCCACGTCGCCCGCGTGGCGCAGTGGTTAGAGCGTCTGCTCTAGAGTCGCGGAGTAAGGAGTTGATCCTTACGTCGCGGGTTCGAATCCCACTGTGGGACGTGGAGACCGGTCCTTCGGATGAGACCGTATAAACCGACGTCCCGTGTCGCAGTAGGTGTTGGCACGAAAAAGATCCCTCACTGCTCAATGGCCCTGAGTGCCGAGTTTAGGTAAAAAAATTGCAGCTCTCCACCGGCAAGTGGTGTCGTCTCCATATGAGTGAAAAATTCTCGAGAGGGACGTTAAACAAGAAACAAACAAACAAAAAACAAAAATCCACGTCGCCCGCGTGGCGCGTTGGTTAGAGCGTCTGCTCTAGAGTCGCGGAGTAAGGAGTTGATCCTTACGTCGCGGGTTCGAATCCCACTGTGGGACGTGGAGACCGGTCCTTCGGATGAGACCGTATAAACCGAGGTCCCGTGTCGCAGTAGGTACTGACACGAAAAAGATCCCTCACTGCTCAATGGCCCTAAGTGCCGAGTATAGGTAAAAATTTGCAGCTGTCCACCGTCAAGTGGTGTCGTCTCCATGTGAGTGAAAAATTGTCAAAATGGACGTTAAACAACATACAAACAAACAAAAACAAAAATCCACAAACGATTTAGATACTGTAAACCAACTTTTATTCGCGTGCGAGAACTATCCACGAATTTCGCGACCCATTTTAACTGGCGAATATTAATCACTGCGAACTTTTTTTTTTTGCTTTGTATTTGTAGAGAATGCCTCCTCGGTCGCGAAAATTAATCGTCGCGGATTGATTTTTAACGGACTAATAGTTGGTTTACAGTATGTAAAAGAGGGCATAAAGCATGGACCGCTGGAAATTCCAGGTGCCTAGGTAGAGTAAGCATCCGCTGTTGACCGGTCACATCTACCGTGAGCCCATTGTATTAATCGGGTAGACGGAACTACCCATAATCGATTTGGTACAAAAACAAAGATCTAACAATTGGTATGAAACATGTCAGCCCAAATACGACCTAATGATAGATTGTATTTGCTAACAAGGTCATTATAACGACCATAAAATTTACGAAATGTTGACTTTAAACGAGACTGTTGAAATCCCTGTAACATCAACTTACCAGTGAGTAGCCTGCCTCGCTTTAAAAATTGATCGTACTCAAAGCAAGCTCTTGAGTAGCGAATAAGTTAGGAGACATAAACACCATAAAATGATTTATAAGAAAAAAGTATGTACATGAAAAATACCAGTACTGGCATATATATAATTTTGGTGATTGAAAATGACCTATTTTTAAAAATAAATTTGCTGGACAAAAAGAAAAAAAAATAATTACTTGATTTTAATCGCAATGCAGACAAAATACTCCACGGCTTGAAGAAGTTTTAAATTTAGCACAGAAACCCTAAGAAGTAGACAGTTTCCAAGACCAGTACAAGATGTAAAACATATTTTATATCCAAATTGGACATAAACACTTCAATGATTCTTTAATCCATTGAGATGAACGCAATAAACTGTGATTATGGAGGGTAAAATGTTTTGACCAGTGTATGGTCTGGAAAAAAAATTATCAAGTCGGAAACACCCAGATGGAGATTGGCTTATAGAATGTAGTGTCTCGCGGCTTTGACCAACTTCAAGTCAGTGACAATAAAATAACCATGAAAATTCCTTGTTTTTCCGAAACATTTGAAGTTGATACCTCGTACAAGATTGCTAATGTCGTACGAATATGTTCTGACCTTCACCTAAGACAATTTCTGTCTAACCCCAAATCAAAAACAAAAGGCTTTTCAACGAGCTTTGTTTCAGCTAAATGAATAAAAGTAACACTTACAGGGCCGCATTCCATCAGCAGATGATGTTCCTGCAGCACTTGATATCCAACGTAGAAATAAAGCGGAAGTGAGGGTGGAGAGGTAAATTTAGAATCCACGACGTAGCCCTCTGTACGAAAAGATTCAAGTATTCTGTCAATTGTCTTAGTCTTGTCTCCGGTAGCTTCAATACTTAATGAAATTACAGGTCTGGTGACTTTGTCTGCCTGGTCTTGGTCGTATATAGCTGCTCTCCTTGGATACGAAGAGAGGTTTACTGTTAAAGTAAATTCATAAAAATGCAATTTATTTAAGCAATGACCTCCATTTCTAGTTATTTTGTGTACTTTTTAGTGCAAATGACAAAACAAAGCTCGGAATTAAATAACATTTAATTAATATTATATAATATCCATTATTATTATGATTTGTTTACATGTCAGGGATGTAGCTTGACTTAAAATTCTAGTGAGGCAAAACGATTGCAGCCGGGGATCTGGGGGCTGTCTTATGCCCAAAGCAGGTCCAGGACAGAGCCCTGGTGGGGGCTGGAGTTGAGGGGGGCGAACCCCCCCCCTCCCACACACACGTGGGGTTTTTTGAAATGTCCTGAACAGAAATTTCGTAAATTTACCGGTTTTGTTATTGAAGACTTCAGCAGGTATTTCAAAAGCATTTAATAGAGTAAATAAAAATGTTTATTCAAATTGAAACACATTCGAAGATAATTTCATACTCAATTCAATTCATTTTTTGTTAATTTAAAACTTTAATTGAATCCGGCGTCCTTTGGATCCATCAAATCTGGGAAGTTTATTGTGAACAGAAACTGTCTGTTGTCTGTTTTTTTTTTATATTTTCGTACCATTAGTTTTAAAAACAAATTAAATATTTTCTGCAATGTATTATTAATTCTGGGAAGGGGTGGTGCTGAAAATTTTAGTGAGGCAGTTGCCTCATTGCCACAATGGAAGCTACGTCCATGCATGTATTTATCATGATATGAAGGCTGCCTTAAAGATGTAATTTAATGAGCAAAAACTATTAAAAATTGCACTTTTTATTGTAATAAAATACTTAATATTCCGATTCAATAAAAAACTACTTCGTAACCCCTTTCAAACATTGTTTAATAATTAACCGAGATACAACAACGTTTATACATGTATCAAGTAAATCATCACTGCTGTTAAATTTTATTTAATTACGAAATGTTTGAGGAAAACGAGATATCCATCAAGAGAAAGCTTACCTGAGCTCTCTTGTGCTGTAGAAAAAAAAAGAATTACTCTATTTATTGTCCGGATAATTGAAATATTAAAGGGAGATATGTACAAACCTATTATTAATGTACTACATATGATTGCAAGAAGTGACAACCATTTTTCTTTCAACTGAAGAATAGGTTACTCTCAATGGTTTCAGTACAGAAAATGTCATGAAATAACACAAAATATAAAGTCACTAAAAATTCTGAACGGATATCCATTAAAACATTTACGACATAAATATCATAAAGCGAAGAACCGAAAATCCAGCGTTTTATCACTAGCAAATACACAGCTTTCATGGTAGATTTATTACCAAGAAACCATATCAATTTTTATCCATCAAAAATTATCTCCTTTACTTTTTATATAAACTGGTGTTAATCATTCAGTAAACACCCCAACGCAAGCGATGCACCTGTATAGATTTCTTGAGCAGCGGCTGTTCCATCAATGAAACAAACAGTGACTGACATATCTATGATACAATAATTCACGTTCTTTATTTTACGTTATACATGTTTACACAATTATAAATATAAACAATAAAATGTTTCTCTTTATTAGTACTGGAATTGACGTTGCAACTTCAGTACCGAGCAGAAACAACCTAACAGAAATCCGGACCCCAACCGAACCCAGAATTCGCTTTGGGTCCGCTAGGGCTGACCCCGAGCGAGCACGGAGCGCACCTAGAGAGAACGCTGATAGTAAACCCGGATTTCAGAAACGCACCCAGAAAGCGCATACGGCGTTCGGTATTACGTAACAGAGCTGTCAATCAAATTTATTCGTTGGGGTTAATAAAATGTTTGTAGCTATATATTGTAATTGAATATATGTACGATGATAAAACTGGTATATTTATATTATCCCTTAAAAGATTTATAGTTGCATGACCTGTATAATTATATCAAGATTGAAAATCACATAACCCTTAAATCTAACTTTCACCTTCATGTTTCTCGCACTAAAGGCATTTCTCTCGCCTTGTTCGCCCATCTTCTTACCTTCTATCACATGTACTTCTTCCAGTGCCCAACCTCTTACCACCGCCTCGCCGACAAGCTTTGCCAACATCAAAGGATCATCATTTTCTGTGTCGAACTTGCTAACCTAAAGGAAAACAATTTTTCTTTTCAAAGTCTCATTATATAAAGTAATTAAGCTGAATTAAGATTGGAAGTCCTCTAAAGGTAAATATCTGAAGAAAAACTTTAGTAGAGCTTACATCAGTATGTAATAATTCATCGTTAGATTATAGCAATAGAAAATTCAGCCATTTATATTACACATTTAGCAAAATAAATATTTTAATACTCTTTATACATCCAATTTATGAAAAATCGATCCCAATGCACATTTTTATCTCAAAAAAAAAAAAAAAAAAAATAAAATAAATAAATAAATAAAAATAAAAAAATAAATAGATAAAAAAATACAGTCATGCTGAAGTATAATATTTATGCTAGTTTTGATACTTATAAAAAGATTTTTACACTACTCTCTATTATTAAATTTATTGATCAAGGAAATGTATGTTCACTTCAAGATTAAAGAAAAGTAATTAAAGGTAGAAAATTAAATGGATTTATCTATTGGTGTATAGGGGAATATATAGAATGTTGAACGCCAGAAACACAGCACACATACCGCCTAAAACGCTTCTCCTGTCTTAAATGAATTGTTATAATAATACCATAAAGGTTGGGTAAACAAATGAGTCTTTACGGCCTTATAATTTGCGTTATAATTGATTTCAAATATAAAGACTCATTAAAAATATATTTTATATATATATATAAAAATTCGTGAAGCATTAATTGATTATATATTTGTCAATATATCTATATGTTAAAACGTTTTACGTAGGACATAAGGGAGGTAATTTGACACATCTAAAACCGTGATTAAATCGTCCCTCCGACCGTGCTTGGCTTGCTATGTTAAGATTGTGTGTGTCTGTGTGATATTGTACCATCCATCGTCTTTCTTTAAGTTTAACGAGGTTCTTTCTCAAATCCTCGAAATGGCTGTCATCAAACTTGAGTCCGAATAGAAGTGCTGCCTGGCTCCTAAGATTTCTTTCGCTGTAATAATCATAAAAACAATGTATTATGAATATAACCAATGTATGATTTTCAGCTTAGAATTAAAAAAAAGAATAAGAGATTAAGACGGAGCTAACTTATTAAATGAAATGTTTAACATACTCTTCGAGGTAGTCCAGAGTGATGTCTGCAGCTTTACCCGAACCTTTGATTACAATGACAGGAACCTTACTATGCACAGCTTCAGCAACATGTTTGATGTCATCCAGACCACCCTCAACTAGGATTATCACAATCGGTACATGCATGGCTATTGATGAAAAAAAAAAAAACAGATTTAAAATTTAGATTTTTATTTCTTAAATATGGGATCAGGTTTTCAAGGTGGCGTGCGTTGACTTTACATTTCGTAAGTCCCCGTGTTGCCGTATTCACGACTCGTTTAGCAAACTGAACTTGAACAATTGGTCATTATTCGTTATATTCATCTTCAGTTAAAAATCAGAAAAGTCCCCTAATGTGTTGCCCTTGATGTAGTTTTGAATTTAAGACAAGGAACTTTATTTGCCTTTTTATTAAATACTCGGTAAACGTCATAAATAAGATTATCTATCATAACTATTTTTAGGAGCCAATACCATTGAAATGAAAAGCAATAAATGACTAAAGAAAATATTATTATAAGAATATACATGTACCAGATATCATACGTGTTGTGTACGAAAATATGTCTGGCACAATGTGATCTCTAGTTAATCTTGGATATGGATCCTCTGATATTCTAAATATTTTTATAATCTGTCAGTATGGGGTTTCTAGACCTCTGTGCCTTTTGTTCCTCCAAGCTCAGTGGTGTTTGGGAAGTAAAAACATAAAGAATCGAACCTTTTCCCGAACTGGACAGAACACATTCTCGTTTGTTTATGTTGATCAAATATTAACTTAGCACGTATCACTATTTTTTTATTGTATTTGTTGAAAAAGTAGTCTACTGTGGAATCATCATTGTTCGTGGGGGATCAATGTTCGTGGATTTCGTGGGTAACCCTTACCAACGAATATGCATCCCCACGAACAATTATTTTGTAAACGTACTGATTAATTAAATCTACCAAATAAACGAGCTGACCATGAAATTATATCCCCACGAACCAATGAACTTTTGCTTGCCAACGAACATTGACCCCTACGAATTTAGATGATTCCACAGTATCCATCATGCACGCTTGTTCAAGAAACTCGCTCTAGTGCAAAAAGGAACGAGGTAAAAACAATTGCATTCAAAAAGAGGTGATGTAAGAGAAAATAAAATCTATATCTTTCTCATTTAAATTTTGTGGCGCACTGGTTAAAGCGTTTGCTCTATAGTAACGGAATGAGTTGGTCTTGACGTCGCGGGAAGCAGAAACCGGTCTTTCAGGTGAGACTGAATAAACCTAGATGTCTCGTGTCGTAGTAGGTTCTTGGACGTAACAAATGCTTAAGTCTAGGAAGAGTACGCTTACCTTCTAGGTGATGGGGTCAGAAGCTTAATTTAAAAAGGTTCTACATGTAAAAAAACTACATTGTAAATATTGCACATGTTGTCACAACTAGAGCAACGGCTTGTGTGCAACAATACTCTTCAACATCAGAGTCTTGCACTTTATTAGAAGAACACAAAATCCGCATTTTTTTTTGTCATACGCTGAGATTTTCGGAAAAGTATGTAAAAGATGAAGGTCAAGGGGACAAAATGAAATTCAAGGAATACGTCTCATTGGTATTTAAAATGAAAATAAATGAAAACTATATCTTCTTTTATTCATTACCAATTTTCATTTTTCTTTTGAGAAAAAGGCCACATTCGATAATCAGTGATAAAAGTATGCTGAGGAAAGCTCATGGTGTCACAGGTTAGGAGTCAGTGCAAAAGTCATCTTTACTTAATTTCATTTACGACCAAGGTAATCTTTTTTGCGACAGACTAACAGATTTACATCCCGTTGCTTTCGCAAAAGCAGGGGACATAATGTGATTGCTGATTATTGCTTAAGCTGAACACTACTCGTGAAAAGGAATTGTCCGCAATATTTCTCTTTCATCACCTCTATCCTTACAACCCTTATATAAGCCTAAGCCTTAGACCTCCTAACAGTTCAAAGTATTTCGATGTAGAGGTTTCGCCTATGTGGGCGTACATCTTTCATTGTCGTGTTTTTCGGTCGCGATGAAAGTATCAAATTTTACGCACTTTTTCCGAGTCATCAGAAGTTTTATCAAACATGAAAGTCTGTGCAATAGTTACAAACTGAAAATGTATATGTAAACAAGGAACAAACGCAGAAAATCTAAGATCACAAAAAGAATCCTACACGTCGGCCACGAGTTTCAAGTGTGCAATATGGTGTAACAAAATCGAAGGGTTTATATACCTCTGTGACAATGCCGATTTATGAGTCGTGTTGAGCTTTAATGCGGAGTCGGCAAAATTTCAGACATGTTCTGGCGATAAAATGTTTTAACGGCACTTTTCAAAGTTTTCGATTTCTCTGATGCCCCAAGTTGAGACGACTATTTTTGGAAAACCACAAAAATTATCTTGTACGTGCAAAGAAGGTTGTAATCCTTGATACGAGGCACCATCTATGTACATGAAAAGATGAAAAATAGGGACGACTAGAAGCTTAAAGGTAAGTTATTAATATTGTTTTACACAGTGACATCAACAAAATGTTGTGAGTATCATTAAATTGCTAAGGAAATAAATCTTTCTAAAAGACAGTAAACATACATCGAATTTATATATTTTTCAAGATAAAATGTAAATAAAAGCAAATTATTTCTGAGAAGAGTTACCAAATCCCGGTATATGTTCCTTTGTAATTGAACTTTCATTCTGAATAAATTCTTCTAGCTGCAGAACGCTTGTTAAATTTAGGACATCACTGCTTTGCTGAAAAAAAGAGTGAAACATGTAAACAATCGTATGACTGTTTAATTTCTACCAAAAAATGTCTATTCTTATCAATTGTGTGGGGACGGAAGTCTTTAAAAAATACACGTTTTAAAGGGAAGTCATATAAAATGCAAGCATCCTCAGGTAGTGTAGATTCAAGTTTATTCAGATCATGATCCGCGGTAAAAGGGTGGGGAAAGATAAAAATTTTTAGACAGGTTTGACTGTATATAAGCAAGAAATCGTCTTCTGAAGAACACGAAATCCATGATAAATATTTAAGCATTAAGGTCAGACGACACGTTCCTCAATAATATACATTTTTTCCCAAGAATTTGTCCTTGAAGTATTGCTACTTTAACAAGTTTCCTCACAAAAAAGTAGGGTACCTTACCGGGCATTTGTGAAAGATACCAGAGGATGGTATTTGCTATAAAATTCTGGAAATCACTAGCATTGCCAGTATCACAAATTTTGTTGGTGTCATTATCTACTTAGACATTTTGAAAACAGTTTTTAAATCACAAGATAATCATATCTAATGTATTGTATTTTACGAAGAAATACAAAACCGATATTCGAGCAACATGTTGTCAGACCTTAAATATAATGCATTTTTCTCTAGTTGAAGACAAATCCATGGGGTTTGTTAGATGCGAGTCCATGAGGCGATCAAACTTTTAATTGGGAATATATTGAGTAAAAAGTTCAAAACACCTTCCTAGAACAGCAAACCTATGAATATGAAAATCATTCTGAACAAGTGTTTTATGTCTAAATGATTACCCCGGGGATTACCTTAGCAAAACTATAGTTTACTATAGTACTGTAGCAAACAGTAATTGATTGATTGATTGATTGATTATTGTTGTTTTACGCCGAGTCAGCAATATTTCAGCCATATTTCGGCGGTATGAATTTAAATACTGTATAAACGGTTTTGAAAGTTTTCGGGTTTCTCTGGCGGTCCCTAATGAGCCTACTCTTTTTCGAAAACCAGAGAAACGATCTTTAGCGTGCCAAGGGGGTTGTAATCCTTGACACGGGGCACCGTTTTACGTCCCATCCGACGGACTTTAGCAAATAGTAATTCAATAATAATCAGTTATAAATCAATCATCTCTACATTATTATAGGGTCACCACATTATTATAATGATCACTGTATGTAAATGAAAATCAGTGTGGCCTTCACATTCATCCGTATTGCACGCTCGGATATGAATTGAATACGGTTTGAAGAAATTTCTAAAAGAGCGATCTTTTCCTTCTCGTACACTGTTTTTTCCTTTTTCTCCATTGACATTGTCAGCAGTAGAATCGGGTGATGTTCCAATTAGTATTATTTCATCGTTTCTCTGTGACTTTTCCATTATGGTGTAAACGTCTGCTGCGTCTCGAACAACTTTTGATACACCCACATTCTTATTTCCGTATAGTATCCATGTGTCTGAATGAAAAAAAGTAATAATGACATTGCTGTAACAAAGTAGATTTTTTTTTAAATATGTATAAACAAGACAGTATCAAGAACAAAGACATTAATTGGTTGTCAAAGAATAGATTCAACACCTGCATATAGGCCAGAAACTCTTCTTCTTACCGACGAATATTAGTATGAAGATAAAAGAAATATGCTGTTATGATAAACTCAAAATCTTACAAATTTAGATTTATATATATGTAAGCCTCTTTCCAACACAAGTAAGGAATTACTGTCTAGTTTGCTGGGTATGCCAGGGCATTAACGATAGTTGGAAACGTGAGATAATTTGCTTAAAAGGCGAAGCCCGTGATGCATAAATTATACTACGTTTCAAACTATCGAAACGTGGGATAATTTGCATAACGGTCGAAGCCCGATATGCATAATTATCCCAGGTTTCCAACCATCCTTGATGCCCTGGCATACCCAACAAACTAGAGAGTTACATGTATTCCTTATATTTACATTCCTTTGTGAAATTAAATTGTATTTATAAATTGAAAAAAATGCGTCTTATAGATTTAAAATACACGAGGCCTCCCTTTAATGTCAGCATGTTAATGTTAATAATTTAATGTTAATTTTAATTGTCCCGCCCCCTGACATCAGACACAAAGATTGACATGCATATTGGGCTCCTGACCTTTCACTTGCCGAAATTTACATTCAGGTTTAATTATCAAGAAATCAACTCATTTAACTTTTAAAAAGTTATCACAAAGAAAACAATTTAAAATGTAAATATATTGATTTAATTTGGATAAACTACGGAAAACTTTCATTATTTATGCACCGTATAGGGACAACCCCCCCCCCCCCTCCCCCCACCTATCACTGAATAAGGGCAAATCTTCCACTTTAGCAGTCAAAACATACCATGTTTACTTAACCATTTAAACATTTTATTCCGCGATGAATTGCAAGTTTCTCATACTTTTAAGAATTAAAAAAATGCTTACAAGTGAATTTATTGTGCATACTTCATATGTTTCAGAGCACATCTAGTGGTTCTCGAGAAAACATTCCTGTATAGAGCTAGTGCATTATTGCGTGCATTAAATCAGATTGACATATCTCGCTGGAATTAAATTTTAAAAGTACCCAAATTGTTAAAGATAAAAATAATGATATGTACACGTGGCATTCAAGTTCACAGTAATCTTTAGAACGGAAACCCTCGTTCAAAAAAACCGGGGACTTTAAAATTAGATAGGTAATAAAGCGTTTATGATATCAGATTGCTTGTGTTTTAGCTATAATGTTGGATTTAAATGGTAAAAATTTGATAAATCTGATTTGATAAACGGAATCCTTAAAGTATGATTAGAGTAATTGTGCATTGAAAGAATATTTAAACCTTTTTTTAATAATGGTGACTTGTCAACAGATTTTTTAATCTGGCTTCGATAAATTGATTCAACTACGAGTTAAAAATCAAAGTATAAAAAATGTTGCAGAATTACAGGTATAGGCGTCATTCACAGTTTGCATGGAGAAATCAATATCGTCTTGCGCATGCCGATTTCGTGGGGTTCTTTTCGGCGAAAAAAATATAGCTTAATTTGTGAAAGATCAAATGTGAAAGAATATGCCTATTACACGTAAGTGCATTCATTGTGTTACAAAAATGAAAGTAAAGATAAAACTCAAAATCATGTAGCCAACATCTTTAAAATTTCCGTGTAAAATAATTTTTGATTAAAAATTATAAACAAGAGTAAAAAAAAATTACAAGTGTATGTTCGAGATTATGATATTATAAAGTATGGAGTTAATAATAATGAAGAATTTTTGTCATTTATTATTAACTATATATTTATCTCAATATTCCGTACCCTATGCTATGCCACATTTTAAAGATCTTCACATGAGAAAAATATTAGTCATTTAATCCTTGATAAAATATGAACATTTCATATATTTTATATCGATATTGGTAATATATGATTTATATATTGTCAAGTAATTAACCTTGTATCTCATTTTTCGTTCCGTTCCGAATTTTAGCAAAAAAAAAATTAAACAAAGATATAGATGAAACATACAATTCATTAAAATTAGTATTTTAATAATTGTAGATAAAGAACACAATCATTGTCTTTGAGCCTCTCTATTTTAAATTGCCTATAACAACAAAAGCTGATAAATATCGATGGAAATCTTTTTTTCTAACTTACCTCCCCCACTGCTTTTGTGGGTCTCTATAAGCGCAGTCTGAAAAACTGATTTAGGCCAGGCCCTAGGAACAAAACTGTCCGAGTCACCGATGACCGATAAGACAAGCTTAGGAACACGGTGAAACTTCTCCACTAAACGATTCCATTCTTTTAATGTACCATCCATATCAATTTATTTTTCTTTAATCCATTGAAATTAATCTGCAAAATAATCCATAATTCTAACCCATTAAAATTAATCTGCAAAATAATCCGAAATTAACTTTTAAAACATAATTTGATGTCAACCACTTCAGCGATATTGTGTAACTTCTATCTCATAGTTAAATCCTACATGTATTTGTTAAAGATTCCGCCGTACATATATTGAAGGTTAAGAATGGCAATCAAATACAGAATATTCAATAGGTTACAAAGGTTTCCGCCCGATAAGTCGGTAGACCGTATCAAAATTGTTTGAAATATTTTATCTTGTAAGTTCTATTAAAATTTTGAAGACTAAAAGACGCTAATAATGTTATGCTTATATTTAATCAGAACACTTGTATATATTTTAAAATAAAAATTGTTATGAAATCCGCTTATACAAGTTTATATGCAAACTCCTTTCCGATCCACCGCGTGATTCACTGAATATCTGCCATTCCTGCGGGGCTACATTCCATGACCTGTTTGTTCATGTCAGCTGTTCGTGCCTCATCACTTTGGACATCCGGAACAACTGGTGGAGTGACATAATTAACACCTTTCCTATTGAACTGTCAGCTGAACTGTGTGCGCTCACCGAAGAAGATCTATACGTAATACTCCTCGGTCGCACTCCAAACACCAGGATAGAAGCACACAATATTGTAACTTTCAAAATAAGGAACTATCGACTTATACGGGATGCGTCGGCACATTACTATAGGGTAATGCATCAACATATGCCAGTGGGGGGCAATTGGTAATCAGAGTACAATTATTTGAAGTAACACACTGACAATTGTATATAACATTGTTTATTTATTTTTCATTTCTGTTTTCTTTTTCCTTTTTGTTTGGTTGTTTTCTTTTCTTACTTTGTATATTTTGTATAATGTATAGTTGATTTTGTTCTATATATTATCTCATGTCATGAGGAAATAAAGAATGAATGAATATCATAATTATAATAATAGTTTAAACTATCCCTCTATTTACAATGGTTTGATTATAATTGTAATGTGATAGACGTGATGCAAAAGATAGACGAGGATTTATATTATAATCTGTTCACAGTACTCAACGATCAATTATTTAAATCAATAAAACAAAAGACAGGCTGGGTAAAGGTATGGTGTTTACACGACAACTAACAATTCAAAAACTGACCAGATACCCAGAATGTGAATGTTAAGAGCCTCAATTATCTCCTTTTTACCTTAAACAGGTGAAAATTTCTATTTGTGTTTATTGTCATTTAATTTCAAAATAGTTTTAGTCAAATTTACACATTTTTTGTTTAGATTTGTCCTACTAACAGAAAACCATTTTTTTTATTTGATTACCATTGGACCGATTAACCTGTAACAAATTGCCATCGTTACTTAAAATACATACACATTAGCTGTGTATATGTTTATGCTTAAAATCGGTTCTCTATTCCTTGTAAATATATAAAAGTAGATTTAATAACAGATCAACATATTTTTAGCAAGGATAATGTGTAAGCTTGGAATATTCGTAAACATTTTATCAATATTAAAAAATAAAACTACTTGCATACACGCCAAACAAAGAAAATTTAAGTATTTCATAATAGAAAATAAAACTTTAAAAATGTACATTACAATTAAATAATTTTGTTTAATTTTTTTTAGTTATTTTCATATAAACTTTGAATTAATTTATTACAGCTATCCTTACCTGCTTAATTAGAGACATGCATCCCTGAGAACAATACAAATGATTAAGAAAATTCCAACATCTTAACCAACTCGGCACAAATGTAGAAAAAAAAAAACAACTCTTAAGCTTTAGAAAAAAAAGACATCAATTATGACGAAATGCAACTTGAAGGCATTTAAATATTCCGTTTTCATAAAGAAAAGTTCTTGGGATGATTAAACCTCCTTTAAACTAATTGAATATTTTCGCGACTGTTTTCTGAAAATGTCCCTTTTTTGGCGGACACCACGTTCGCTCAGTAGTTTGAGCTGATCAGCAAAAGAGTTGACTGTATTTTAAAATAGTGCATGGTCTTTAATTATCAAAGGGCATCGATTAGTGTGATAAGATGAATTGTCATGCTCAAAATTCTGTCTTTCATCGCCAAGCAAAACACATAGCTCCGAATGTTGTGACGTTTTTCTGAAGAAAAGGGTATTTTAAATTTCTGATTGTAATCTTTTCTCAAAGGCTGGTTTTGTTATGTCACCCCGAATAAAGTCTAGGCGACAAATGCGATTGTTATACCTCATATAAATAATCACTAGTAAAATAGAATCTGATTGGCCGAGACAGTCACGTGACAGTCGTGTTTGCACTGCAACAAAACTTCGTGTTTCACGGTTGTGACGTTTCAATGCGGTGACTGAGATGTTTACATTTATATCATTGATTAATTGTGTCGATTCAAACGAGTAAAATGTAAATAATTACAAAAGTGTTTTCACGGGTGGGGTTGTAATGTTACTGGTGTGTAAATTACATTGACTTGTTTTTATGTTTTGTTTGTTTGTATGTTCTTTAACGTCCCTCTCGAGAATTTTTCACTCATATGGAGACGCCACCACTTGCCGGTGGAGAGCTGCAAATTTTGTCCTATACTCGGCACTTACGGCCATTGAGCAGTGAGGGATCTTTTTCGTGCCAGCACTTACTGCGACACGGGACCTCGGTTTATACGGTCTCATCCGAAGGACCGGTCTCCACGTCCCACAGTGGGATTCGAACCCGCGACGTAAGGATCAACTCCTTACTCCGCGACTCTAGAGCAGACGCTCTAACCACTGCGCCACGCGGGCGATTGAATGTTTTTATGAAGCGGGACTAGTGGTGAAACTAACATCTGTTTCATATTATTCTTACCAAATGTTTTACTTTATTCATCGGATTTTCTTTGTATTTCTTGCATTGTGCTTGATTCGGTATAATAAAGGATTTGTTGCATGAATGTTCGGGAGACATGAAGACTTCTTCGTTCATGAAAAATCATATTCCCCGAGGGCAACGCCCGAGGGGAATATGATTTTTCATGGGCGAAGAAATCTTCATGTCTCCCTCACTATTGTGCAATAAATGTATATTATTTACCAAATACCTTTGTCCGTGGATGTTTTAGATGACTACTTTGAGGCAATCTTAAGAACATTTCCGGAAAAGATGTCCATGATCACTAGCTGTAGATATGCATTAAACATCTTAAGTGTGGCTACCGTTGCCAAGAGAACGTAAAGAAAAGGAATTTTCCCTGTAGTGTTCCTGTATATGGCTTAAAATATTTATCAAACTTGACGAAATTAAAATTACATGTACCACCCCTGAATTATCAACAGAAAACAGAGAGAAATTGGATATAACAGTTCACGACTATTTGAAACGAAAATATTTTTGTTTATTCTCAGAAAGTAAATTGTTTGCATGTTAAAATTCTTACAATTAAATCTTATGTAAACTGGAAAACAAAAATAAACATTTGCAAATAAAGATTTTGCATGATACGAAGTCCTTGAACATGTATATCCCCAAAGTAGTTTGATAAAATATTCTAGATAAAATATTATATAATTAAAAAATATAAATGTTTTCAGCAGGAACAATCTTATAATTAAGATAAATAAAACTCAAGTCATACAGTGTTTATTAGTTTGGTCCTAGCTAGCACATAAAACTAGACTTAGTGAGGGGCTACCTCCTTTTCTGACTTTTGTAAATATATTTATAAATACCGTATAAAATTCATTATAACAGGAAAACAGTGTTGCTGTGGCAACCCCAGCTTTTGCCTCAAGTTCCCCCGATATTTTATTTGTCAAAGAAATATATTTATAATGGTCACAAAGCTCCCGTCGGATCAGTGGTGGACGCGCGACATATTGCCTATATATTGGAAACAGCGGTATATAGCATGGAAAGATGTTTTTGCATGTTTTAATATCACTTTTATGGCTTTTTGTGAAATCACTGGCAATTTCAGATCTAATGCAAAGTATTACTAACGTTTTAGGTAAAAACTTGAAGAGGCATAATTTGTCACTTTAAGAAATTGTACATCATTACTTATAACACGGTTGAGATGTTATCATCCAACGTACTTTTTCTTGTCTCAACTCTAATGTGAGCATTGCAACAATTCATGAACACATCGATCCGTTAATGCATGTACTCTCTGTTGTGGCAAATCATCGATCAAATGGCCATCCGTTGAAGATTGGAAGAATAAGATGCATTTTTGCAATAATTAACATACGCAATCGGTTCATTCGACGGTTCCTTGGTTGAAATATACTGTCCAAGAATTAAGCCACAGCGACAGTATTATTCTGGTCATAGGAAATATCAAGCCTTACACCCACGTTATATTTGATAACTCCTTGATAGGTCACATAGAAAATTGTTCCCTGGTCAACAAAATTATGCTCAACACAATTCTTTCCCGGTAGATTGTTTCATATTAGGGTCAAAATATATCGTAGTAGGTACCTAATAATAACTCCATGTTCCAAACACCAAATAATAAACAGGGACCCTCAAGTGCAAAGGAAGCCATAAAAATATATTCGACTTGTATTGCTGTAAAGATCCCTTATCGAACGCGTGAACTGTGTTTGTTTGTTGTTTAACATAATAACATCCATCTCGATTTTTTTCTCATATGCAGAAGTCACCACTAAACCGATTGTAAAAAAAAATCTGTTAAAAAGTGTTTAAGAAATATGTGGATATAATGAACAATATTCGAGGTAAAATGTCAATTAAACATTACAAAATAGGAGCAGAGGAAATACGGACCTCTAAGGCATCAGAGGTGGGATCAGGTGCCATGGAGGAGTGAACATCCCCTGCCGACCGGTCACAACCGCCGTGTGCTCCTTGTCATGATCGGGAAATAACGGGAATTCCGTCGACAAATCAGTGTTTAAATAATGGCCTTACAATTAGTATGAAAAGTCAGTCAGCATTTGACTTAATGAAATATTGTAT